AACCCTAACCCTAACCCTAACCCTAACCCTAACCCTAACCCTAACCCTAACCCTAACCCTAACCCTAACCCTAACCCTAACCCTAACCCTAAACCTAACCCTACTAATCTCTTATAGACGGCCCGCCTCTCGTCTGCTTACTACTAGAACGCCTGTAATGCGCGCTGGTTTTTACCTTCTGCCCGGCCCTGATCGCTGTCGGCTGCCGTTACTACTACTACGTCTACTACTACGTCTGCTACTACGTCTGCTGCTACGTCTGCCTAGTAAACGTCGTATACTAACTCCGCTTCGGCGTCGTACCTACTCCTCTCCTGCTTCTACTACCCGTTAGTACCGTCTATATACTCGTCTAAAACTACCCGCCGGCACTACTACCCGCCTATAAACCGGGCTATTACTGCTCTAGCCCGCCTTTCGTAGACGCTATCGTCTGCCTTGCCCGGCCTCGCCTATATATCGCCGCTATTAATAATAATAGCCTCGCTCGGCTTCCCGTCCCGGCCTCCCCTGCCGCTTTCTTACCTATATTCCCTTAAATTTACTGGCCTCTCTGCGTGAATAACGGCCCGGATATCCGGTACGTCGATGTCTAATCCTATAGCGTTTGTAGCGACTATTATCTTGCCGCCCTCGTACGCCTACTGCGCTAAATCCCTAGCCTTCTATTCCTAGTCCTTTCGCTATCCGTAGTACGCCTTATACCCTAACTCTGCCGCTAACTTCTCTGTCCGGGCGGTACTATTAGTGTAAATAACGACTTTCCCGCTATTATTGCTGGGATATAACTGCTGTACCGCCCGCCTCGCCTCTTGCGCGACTATCTTAATTAACTCCTTCTCTTTCCTCGCTCCTACGGCCTGCTGTACCCGGTACCGGATATTCTTACGGCTAGTCGGCGTTCGTAACCGTAAAACCTCTTCCGTCCGTACGTTTATGATGTTAAATAACTTATGTTCTTCTGCCGGGGGTTTGATTGATTGATTGATTGATTCGTTTAACGTCTATATGCAGTCTGAGACTATGACGGACGGTTCTATCTAAAGAACTAACTAGGGGG